AGGAATGCCTCCCCCCCAGATATCACATAGCTAATTCCTTCACTTCCTTCAGATCTTTCTCAAATGTCACCTCCGTGAGGCCTCCCCTGACCGCTATGTTTAAATCATAATCTTCTGGTTCCCTGAACTTCCTAGTCCATTTCCCTGCTTTATTTTTCTTTTTGACACCTATCACCATCTTATATACCATATATTTTACTTATTTGTTTATTGACAATTTATCTCCAACTAAAAGATAAGCTCCATGAGAGCAGGGATTTGTGTTTGTTTTGTTGCTATATCACCAATACCTAGCACAGTACCTGGCATATAGTAGATGCTCAATAAATAATTGTCAAATGAGAATATTTATATCATCAGAACTTTTGTCCTCTTAATTTCCAACACCCAGCTCTTAAGGCATGGGTACATGTAGTTCAAATGTGAACCATTCATAGCCCTGCTATCAAAGCAGATATAAACATAAACCCAGAAAAGTATGCTTCTACAGTGACATTTCCTTGTTATCACTCCCCACCAATCTCCTCATCCCAGGCTCAACCCTTTCTATCCTTCAAACTCACTCAGATCAAAATTTCCAAAGAACAATTGGAAGCATTCAGAATTCATATTCAACTCATTTTCAGAATTTAATATATTCCAGGCATTGTGCTAGGTTCAGGGGAATCAACAATGAATGAGACAGACCATCCTTGCCATCAGAGTTTATAGTCTAGTGGGGATATCACCTTATCCTGCCTCCGGAAAGGCAACTTAATCCCTTATAGGAGAATATGATGGGCAAATTGAGATGTGATGTATGAACAGGAGATGAAGGAGAGATTTGGGGCAGGGTGGCATGGAGCAGGTGGCAGCAGACTGAAAAGACTGTACCAGGCAGGCAGCGGAAACAGCAATTTCAAAGGCCTAGAGGAGAAAGACAGTGTGGATGTCACTTTCCAGGAAGTGAGGGCAGTTCAGGGTGTGCTGGGACTGTGGAATCGTCACAGAGCAACGATGAGATCTGAAGTAGGGTAGGTAGGAAAGGCTAGACCTGGCAAGGCCTCGTAGGCCACACTAAGCAACTTGGACTTTTGGAACTTTATTCTGAGAGTGAGAGGGAGCCAATAAAAGGTTTGATCAGCGATACAAACAATGGAGTTTAAACTCTTCTCTGCTCCCTAACAAACCCAATCCTGACCTTCCCTCTCCACTGTGGGCATCCAACTCATAGCTGCCCACTCCCTGAAGCTTTTATGCTGCTCCAACCTGCGTGTCTCTCTCCCTCTCAGCCCCAGGGATCCCATCCTCCCTTATCTTTATATGCCTGTGTTCTGTCTCCCCAACTGAGTTCCCAGACTACAGGGACTTCTCAAGGCTCTCAAGGCAGTCCTACACCCAGCTCATCACTGACACAGACTGGGCCTCAATGAGACAAGAGGGTGATGAATACAACCTAGCACAACCCAGTTTGTGCTCACACTCCACACACAGATATATACCCTGTTCTAAAACAACCCTTCCCTCCAAGGGGCAGTGCTGATGTGCGCAAGGCCAGTTGACCTGGGTTTCTGTCTCCTGTCTGCTGTTACCTCTCTCTGTTCTCAGTTTACCTAGCCTCTAATGTCTCCCCTAATGGGCTGGAGAAACTGATTCCCAAGCTTGTTCAAACTGCTAGAAAAATCTAATCTGGAGTGACAGAAAGCAGATCAGTGGTTACCTGGGGCTGGGAGGTTGGGGAGAATGGACTAGAACGAGGTGCAAGGAAACTTTTGGGGGTAGAGGAAGCATCCTATATCTTGATTGTGGTGGTATATAAATTTGTCAAAACATGTACAACTAAACATGTACAACTAAAATGGTCCATTTCATTGTATGTAAACCAGACCTCAGTAATGCTGAATTTAAAACATGTACAACTAAAATGGTCCATTTCATTGTATGTAAACCAGACCTCAGTAATGCTGAATTTATTTATTTATTTTAACATCTTTATTGGGGTATAATTGCTTTACAATGGTGTGTTAGTTTCTGCTTTATAACAGAGTGAGTCAGTTATACATATATATATGTTCCCATATCTCTTCCCTCTTTGTCTCCCTCCCTCCCACCCTCCCTATCCCACCCCTCCAGACAGCCACAAAAGTAATGCTGAATTTAAAACAAACTGCATGTAAATTAAAAGTCAGTAGCCCCAAGCCCAGTACATGAGCTTCAAAACACAGTTCAACCCTGACATAAAACTAGGGCAAGGCCATACGGGAATAGCAGCTTCCCCATGGTTGCAGAGATCTAAGAACGACGGGTGCACCTGCTATGGAAGGCCAGGTGAAAGAAGCAAAGGAGCAAAGGCTAATAATACGGAGGAGGCCAGACCCAAATATGTAAAGTCACAAACAGCATGCACACAGATTTGGTCTCCAAACCTCAAAATACCTAGGCCTGAGATAGTGCTTATTTAAGAATAAGTAAGTAGAAGCCCTGCCTCACAAAGCAAGAAACTGCATATTAGTCCCAAGATGATAATTCATAAACGGTTTGGAAAAAGTGATTCTTGAAGGACTGAGTGGCTTCACCACAGAGAGCTCCTCGAGAAGCTGGGCCTTACCTCTCCTTCCAGGGTGAAGCTGGGTGGGTTAAGAGGGGCGACTCTTGGGTTTCCTGTGAGAAGGGATGACACCTGTCCAGGTGGCAATGAGGACAGTTTGGAGGGGCCAGTTTGGAGTGAGGAGTGTGTGAAAGGGGATGGGAAAGGGGTCTCTGCCCTCGTCTTCTTTGCCTGAACTCTCTCTCCTCACAAGCCTCCCAACACAGAAGATCTGAACCATACTCCCACACACAATCTGTTCTGTGTCTCCGGTACAGTTCTCCTGTACTCCTCTGTGAGTTCCCAAAGGCCAGTGTCTCCACCTAGCCCAGCACTGGGAACTCAGCAAAGGGCAGGAGAAATTACTTATTTGTGACAAGACTGTGAGGACGATGAGGAACATATTGGTAGGAGTGGGGATGGGGGTTTAAGGAGGATGGACCTGTCAGGCTGGGTCTGTGGAGTGAGGGAATGGAATGATGAGAGGAGGACAGGTGAAAGAGTGGTAGGAAACAGTGGGTCGGGGGCAGTGTGGGAGAGGAGGCTAGGATTAGTGGGAGAGAGCAGGACAGGGTCAGAGGTCACTGGGAACACAGGCCAGGAATCACAGGGGGACAGAAGTCAACAGGGAAAGGAAGATGAAGGGTCAATAGCAGAGGTATGATCAGTGGTCACTGGCAGCGAAGGTCAAAGGTCGTCGGAATAGAGCAGGTCGAGGTGTGTGTTACCTGCCTACGAGGCGGTGGTTTGTGGGGCATCTTCGAAGAAGCAGGAAGCACCTCAACACTTGCAGCGCCTACAAAACGCTCCCCCACCTGAGGACAAGTTTGTCCGTCCCCTCAGTCATGCACAGGAAAAACGGATTCTCTTTCACTTCAATTCCCAGTCTCAGGGGCTCTTTGGGGACACCCGACGTTGTGGGTCCCCGCGCCCTCGCAGAAGGGAATCGGCTCCTCCCTGACGCGGTTACCCAGCAACTAACCTGCAGCCAAAGCGCAGGCGCCTCTGATGCCCCCTCCCTGCTCGAGGGGGAGGCGGGGCTGGGCGCGCGGGGAACCACCAGCTCCACTAAGCCCCGCCCCCTAAGGCCAGACGACCGGCTGCCGCGCCTTTCGGAACTCCCGCACGTGGGAGGGGCTAGTGAGCCCAGACACCGCCTCCTCATGAATAATGCAGAGTCAGGCGGTGTCCCGGACCCGGAAGTGGAGTTGCAGAGTCACGGCAGTGGCTGAGCTGCTGACAGGAGGCGGCGGCGGAGGTGGAGGCGAGGCAAGACCTGCGGCTCTGCAGGGCCACGGTCGCTGTAGCGCTAGGCAAGCTGACGGAGCCACGCCGGCCTCAGCCCACTTGCAAACCTCCCGCCTCGTGCCCACCCTTCATCTGCCCGACTGGTCCGGGGCGGCCTAGTCTGCACCACCGACCCGGCTCCTGGGGCCGCCGCCCCGCGCGGTCCCGTCGGCGTCCCTGGCCGCGCCCGACCTCCGGCCCCCTAGCCCACCGGCACCATGATGGAGGAGATCGACCGGTTCCAGGTGCCCACCGCGCACTCGGAGATGCAGCCGCTGGTGAGGGGGCGGGCGGCGGGCAGGCCAGGGCCGGGAGGGGACGCTGCCTGAGGGGGAGGGAGGGAATCAAGCCGTGGGGACTGTGCGGAGGGGGCGCCTCGGATGGAGTAGAGAGCCGTGAAAACGCATCGCCGGGGGAGGGGGACTTGCAGGACTAGAAAACCGTGGGAGGATACGTGGGATGACAGCAAAGGGGCCTGTAAGGGCGGAGAGCACTGCCAGCGGAGGCAGGCCAAGGGAGTTACGGGGAGCGCCGTCGGATGGAACCGAGCGGGGGCACAATGGTGCACACCGTTAGTGGAGGGAGGCCCATAGCGGGGAAAGGAAGGGAACCGGCTTGGGGCACCTCCGGTGGTAGGCCCGGGGGGCTGGGATGAGAGGTAGGGAGGCGTTTAGACCTAGAGGCCTGTGATGCTCAGAGCGGGGGAGGGGGCCAGAAGCAGGCTGTCTGAGGGACGGGAATAGGTTTGTAGAGGAGGAGGGGCCTCCCCTCCAGTTCACTGGCTATGGATGGGAACGCAGGGCCTGGGCAGAGGACGAGTGGACATAGGGGATCCATGCAGGACCCGGGAATTCCGCTCTTCTCCGGAAGAGAGTGCAGTCAATCTAGGCTGGGGGTGCTGGAGCCGGGAAGGAAAGAGCTCGGTGGCGAGATGGAGAATCCGGAGCGCACATGAGAGCTGGGGAACCGGCAGGAGAGGGGGCGGGGCCGCACTGGAGCCGCC